TTAATATTTGTGTCTGCAATAAGACCGTGAAGTGTAGTGAAGGCCAAAATTGGTTATTCTAAGGTGAACAAATAGCCTAGTGGATAAGGCACTGGTCTATTAAAAAGATGAAGTTGGAAGTTCAAATCCCTCTTCGTTCGTTGGTTTTGATTACCTAACAATCATCGAAGCATTGTAAAGAACAAGTCAAAGAACCTCAATTGTGTGCGAGTGGTCTAGTGGATAAGTTGTTGGTTTACAAAGTGTCCGATCTCTAGGGTAAGGTGTTCGGTTCCTATGTGGTGCAGTTGTTTTGATCATAGCAATAAAAAATGAAACTTGGTGACGAACAGAAAATAAGACTAAGATGTGCGCGGATGGCCGAGTGGATAGTGCTTTGGACTGTCGTGATTGACTCCATGGTTCGATCCTCCTAGGAACAAGGTTAGTAATTATTGTAAATAGTTAATAATAGATCATTTAGGTTGAATGCTGAGGCGTTGGAGAGCGCCATCGGCATCGAGCAGGAACCTTAGTTGGGTTTCTTCCAATTCAACTAGGGTTCGGTAGGGGGTTTTACCATTTTAATTTTACAAAGTTCAAATATAACAGTAACGAGGATTCCTCTCTATATTGCTGTATTACTAGATTTCTCCGAGGACTCCTCTGGAGTCCCCTCATCCCCGGGGATTCCTCGGATCCCCCCTGGGGACCCAATCCCCGGGGCTTCCTGCTAGCTTCACCTTTCTCCCCCTCCCCGCTTTCCCTCCTTACCGTGTTTTCCAGCTGGGTTACCCCAGCTCGTCGAACTCGCTTATCTTTTTAACAAGCAACCCTTTTTCTCGCTTCGTATACCTCTCGGTTTTGTTTTGTTACAAAGTGTGAAGAAATTTATATCCAATAGTACGATTTTATCACAAACTACTGCTAGATAGATAAAACTAGGCGTTACAACTTACCTCACATAGATTGGATTCGAACCTCCTACCTGTTGCTTTGTAGTCGGACTACTTACCATTGAACCATCCATAGCCC